GGTTCTTTGCTCAAAAAAATTTTAGGATGTTTTATTTGTATTTGTTTTAAGCACTAAAATATTTATGCAAAGTTTCAATCCATTTGGATAAACCTTCGAAAAAAAAATGAAAAACTAGATTTTGGCTAGGGTCGCCCCTAGTCCAAAATTGAAAATGTATTTCCTTCTTGGTTCTTTGCTCAAAAAAATTTTAGGATGTTTTATTTGTATTTGTTTTAAGCACTCAATTATTTATGCAAAGTTTCAATCCATTTGGATAAACCCTCGAAGAAAAAAGTGACAAAATTGATTTTGACTAGGGTCGCCCCTAGTCCAAAATTGAAAATGTATTTTCTTCTTGCTTCTTTGCTCAAAAAAATTTTAGGATGTTTTATTTGTATTTGTTTTAAGCATTAGAATATTTATGCAAAGTTTCAATCCATTTGGATAAACCCTCGAAGAAAAAAGTGACAAAATTGATTTTGACTAGGGTCGCCCCTAGTCCAAAATTGAAAATGTATTTCCTTCTTGGTTCTTTGCTCAAAAAAATTTTTTCATCCAAAGTTGAATTTAAAAAAAATCACAGTGAACTTTTAATTTGAAAAATTCGTAAGAAAGGAAAGTTTTTTGCTTTTTCTGAAGCAACGGCTGTTCCTACCTTGCCTAAAAACAATACAGCTCTTCTAAAGAGCAGCACGGATCAAATGTAAAAAACCAGAAGTCTCTACAATGTCTCGTTATTGAGATTTCTTGCTGATTAACTTGCTTGTTTGCTTGTTTGCTTGCTTACAGAAAGCATATTTTGCGATTTTCTCAGCAATGCCGCAACCAATTTGAAATCTGTTTTTTGCAAAAGATGTGAAATTCAAGGCACAAACTTTTTATTTCTGAACATTTTAAGCTATCTTGCTCCATATCCTCACTAAATTCAAAAAGCTGAATTTTCAATCTGAACAAAACCAATATATTCACACGTGGAAACGGTGTGAATATAAAAATATACTCCATTAAAAATCAGGTTATGTCAATTTTGGTTCAGTAAATGTATTCATCTAGAGCAGTGTTGTCCAAACTTTTTTGAGCCACAGCACACCTTAGTGGTAAACCATTACCAAAGTCGCACAAAGCATGCGGTTCGCGTTATTTACAAAAAATTTCTATGGCACATTAGTGTGCCGTGGCACACAGTTTTGACATCACTGATCTGGAGCTAGCAACACCAGAAAACCAGATCTTGATTAATCCAACATTTTATTTTCTAAATATTTGAATAAACTCTATAAAACCTCGCTATCATTTCACACAATTCAGCTCAGAATAATTTATTAAAAAAGTTTTTAAAACAAAATGGCTTAATTCAACCTATTTATCTCAAAAATAAAAATAAAATCCGTCATTAACTCAATAAATAAACTCAAAATCATCTACTCGCAAACAACAAAAAAAATAATTTGAATATATTTTCCTCAAAATGAGATAATCTTTAACATATTCATATATTCAATTTAACAAACAATAGAAGAGAAGAAAGCAAAACAAAAAATTACTTGAGAGATCTAAATTGTGCATGGCAATTTAATGTAAATATCAATTTCTATTCGCTTTCAATTTCCTTTTGTCTCATCGCAAATGATTTTCGGAAAAGTAAGGAAGGAAAGTGAAAAAGAATAATGAAAAGAAGTTCAACAACCCACTTGAATAGCTATTGCGAATAGATGAGATTTGCATGAGAAAAGAGAAAAGGAAATATGAGATATTGAAAGATTAAGGTGGAGGAAGGGAGGATACATGTGGATGATACACATACACAAAATTTGAATGGAACGTACGAAATAATGTCTATGCTGAATTTATTCAATAAGAAGAGTAAAAGAACATTTTCAATTACAGATGTAGTCAAGAAAGTGTATTGTCATGCATGTCAGTTTATGGACGTAATTAGGTCTTAAGATTCAAATTTTAATTAAAGATAAAAGCTGCTGAATTCAGCTAATGGTTGCTGAATCAAGCTGAAATTTGCTGAAATTGAACCTAAAAGCAGCTGAATTGAAGTCAAAAAATTGCCGAATTAAATTATAAAACGTTGAATTGAAGCGAAAAATTGCTGAATTCAAGTAAAAGTGCTGAATTTAGAAAAACAAAAGTTAAGAAAATTTTAAAATGTTTGAAAAAATTGACCCCCTCCTCACCTTAAGAGAGATTCAACTTCCCTCCTCCCTCTAATAGAGAGAAATTAACCTCTCGTGAAATTCCTCGTGACATCTCTTATCCAATAATAATATTAATGACAATGATATTCTGAAGTAGCATTCCATACCATATTAGACGATATGGCTTCTATAGCACTTCATTTTTAGCATCCGAAAATTCACCCGCTGCTACCATAGAGTGGCTTACTAACAACAAAACTCCTCCTCATTCATTTTAATAAATTGCACAATTATTCTCCATCCTCTTTTTCAACCCTCAACATACACCATTTAGTCCCTCCAACATACAGTAACAACAACATGGCATCTCTGTATGTCATTTATATTAATTAAAATAAGAGCATACAAAAAGAATATTTTTTTTTGACCTGAACATTCGAATGGCTTTTACTGCATGCGATGAGCTTAACACACAAAAAATGCTGCTTGGGATGAAATGAAAAGAGCAAAATTGAGTTAGTTTAAAATTCATTGTCTCACATATTCACCATAACTTCTCATTTTTGGACTCGCTCTTTGCTAATTTCTTCATTTTGCATTCCCACAGTTTTACAGCTTCGTTGAAAGCTTGGATTGTGAAGTATGTAGGAGGATTATGCGATTGTTTGGATGGCTCATTGGATGGATTTTGGAATTTGTGGATATCAAACTTTGAATAATCCTTTGGACTTCTCCTTTGAAAACAGAGTACATAAAGACCCTAGATTTAGCGTTACTGTGCGTCTCAGGCTGTGCGTCTTAGGCTATTAAATGTACTCTTACCGCGAAATTGTAATCAACAGTTTTTTACTCATCCTTTATTCCTTCTGTTGGCCGATATTAAGTAATTTTCAGAATCATACGACATTACTGTCCGCCTTCCATAAATTCATTCCTCTATTCATTTGTATGTGCAGCATATTTTACAATGTAGATAATGAAAAATTTGCATATTTTGTATATTTTTCATAGTTCCTTTTTGCCTTTATTTTTTTTCTTCTTTGGTCTCTTTGACTCAATGACTGTTGATTTATTCGCTTTTACTTTCATTTCGTTTTATGTAAAACTTTTTCTTTTTTGGTCAATGAACAGCAAGTAATGAAAGTTGTTTTATCTAACGATCTCTTTTAGAGTTTATTGACTTAATGATGAAGAATTGATGAACTTTTGAGTAAGAATATTGTTGATGAATGTAATTTGTGAATGTATGTAGACATGCAGAGATGTACCAAGAGGGTGTGGGATAGAAACTGTAATTTTAATTTAATTTTGTATCCTTGCTTGACTGACATGTATTCCTTGAAATCTTACTTTAAAAAAATTGATAAGGGGTCGTTCACTTATTACGTTACGCAAAAAAACGACTTTTTTCACCCCCCCCCCCCCCCCCCTTAAACGTTCATAATTTATTTTATCATTAAAAACGTGGAAAATTTGAAAAAATGTTTTTGGTGTGAATTTTCGTGAACTTTTCTTTAAAAGACAGACGACAGTTGGAACGTTACATACTTCTTGACACCCCCCCCCCCCCCCCCTTATGTTACATTTTGTTACAAATTTACAAACCCCCCCTCACAAATGACGTCTAACATTAGCTGTGCTTTATTTATTGTATGCCAATTTGTTGCCAAAGTTGGGGTTGAAGATGAAAAGTTCTGTTTTTGATGGGTTTTATTAATGAATAAAACCCCAAAAACCCCTTTTAACCTCGTATTGATGAGCCTCCAAAAGTGCCAAAACACTAAACTTCAACTCCTCAAAAACAATCATTAAAAGACACCCTCTTGATGTGATGTCATTTAAAAGATGAGCACAGTGACATGTTATATCTCTTGTATCCGACAACTCCATAAATCATCTGAATCTAAGTGCCATTCATTTCCAAATAATTTATTCTTCATCCCTTCAAGACGAGCAAAATAAGCCAGCAAATTAATTGAAAATAAATGATTCATTTCTAATTTTTTAATTCCTTGTTTTTTTATGTCTTCTTTTATAGAGCTGCAGCTTAAGCAACGATCCATAATACTGCCATCGACTACGATGTTCACATACAGACAACAAATTTGCCAAGAATAAGTAGAAGAAGCAAAAAAATTCATTAAGAGCAAGCAAGGAAAGTCTCTAATGCAAGTAACAAGACCGAGAAGACTTTAATAGCAAATGGACACAAAAAAAAGGGAAAGACGGAAACCGAAGAAGTAGAATATAAAAATTATAAGTGATCAGAGCAAGCTTCTTTTTTTCATGTCAAATGAGACTAGCACTAAGATTCACAATAGTGAATGAAAATGACAACTGATTTTAAATTAGTGCTGAGAGAAATGAGCAGAACGAGCTCATCGAGAACAAAAGATAATAAAAATTAATTGAAAAAGAAGAAAAAGTCAAATGCAAGTTCAGTTTTAAGAATAAATTTAATTGAGGAATTAAGCTTCAGATTTATATATTAAAAAAATTAAAGTCTATGTGTCGAGATGTTCTTATTATCTATATATAAATTAAAATATACGGGAATTCAATAAGTAAAAAAATAATTAAAATATTAAGGAAGAATAAAGAAAATATTAATCAAGGCGAGAGAAACGCAGCAAATTGAGTCATTAGCAGCGAAAAAAAAATTGTCATTACTCAACGTCGTTAAACCACATTATTCATCGAGCCTGCCCCATCTCTCTTCCAAACGACCAAAAGGAAGAAAAAATTTATTCGAAACTTTACGTTTCAACTTCTTCAAAAGGACATAAAAACATAACGACGAGGGAAGGAAGAACCAACATATAAATTGCAATGGATCGCAATTCGTACTCGCTCATACTTTTTGTCTTCCTTATGATTATTAAAGGTGAGTGCTCAAATATTTTGTTAAATTTTCATCTTCATTTTTCAACTTAAAAAAAAATTGCGAAAATTATTTCAATTAATTATTATTCGAGGGGAGAAACAACATCTTACTGATTTCCAATCAAAATTTGATTTGTTAAATTTTTCTATTCTGGCGGAAAGTTGATTCAATTTTAACATAATTTTTCTCATCATGTTGTTATCCCCCTCGTTATTCTTACAAAACGAGGGCTTAATAAAGTTATCTAGGGAAAAAAGTATAGTTTTTTATTTAAGAATAAATGACCTACTTACTGACTATAAATTTTATCCGTAAATGTGAAGCATATGGCTTCGCTTAATGAATTAAATTAAATGTGAAAGTAGTGGCATGAAAAAGTATCCACAATCATTCTGAGAAATGAATGGAGGATGACTGGAAAAATGCATTAATCAGGTAGCTTAACAACGAGAGGTTGAAGCTCACTTGAACGTTTAAAGTGCTTTTCTATTTCAATTTGAAAAAAAAAAAAATTGTATCTGAGTCTACCCAGTTTAAATATTTCTTTAGAATAGAAAAGGAGTCATTTATGGAGTAAGGAGTAAGGGAGATTATTTTCAAGGAGGGGAAATCAGTAATAAGTCCATCCAGTGGTAAAGGTATAGCATGGAGAGGGTCCAGCCTTTTGAGCTAGAGGCAGTGCTATTCAAATTAGAACAGAATTATACTGTACCACACCCTTTAGTCCTACAGTTTATAGTGGATCCGAACCACTTGCAACTTAACATCCAGTGGTACACTTTTTAAAACAATCTCGAGGGGATAACAATATGATGGTAAAAGTATCGATGGGAAATCTGTGGACAGTTGGAAAGCTGATTGATAATTTGAAAAATCAGTGTAAAAATTTAAAGTTTTTAAGTTTCTCATCAAAACTTTTTCCAACATGTTATTCCCCCCTTCCTTGAAAATCACCCATGTTGTTTTGAAATAGAACGTGAATTTACAAATTGCCGACCCCCTTCCAAAGTTACTATTACAAACATCTAGAACAACCCCTAATCCACAAATCTAGGTCAAATGTTACAAATGTCAATGTCATTATAACAATTTCCCAGAAATGTTCATTCAATAAAAACTTTCCAAACCTAATGGGAACAAAAGAAATACTAAAGCTATACAGCAAGCAATGCAATTTAAAACAAAAAAAGAAATAAAAGTTATCATCAGCTTTTAATTCACCTGAGTTTGTTGCAAAATGAAAAAAATCTGCTATTCAGGATGAATAAAGATGAAAGCACTTGAAAACGAGGAAATACTCATTAGTTAAAGCTAATATTTAAATTGTTTTTAATTCTCGCAAAACTTTTTCCATCCATTCGTATTTTTTCTTTTTTTTATATTTTATTTTCCAAGCTACAAAAAAACTAAAGCTTGTTAAAATGCTAAATAAATAATGAAATATACTATTTTAATTTATCATTTTTTGCATGCCTCAGGCATTTATTCAAACTCATTCATATGAGCTGATGCTTATTTTTTTAAAAAAGTGCGAATAATTGAAATTTATTTATGAAAAAAGTTTCTCCAATTTTAAAATTGGATTTTTTTTTTGTGTCTAGTTTGTTATTGAGAATATGTTGTGGTTTGGTGGGATGGCACTATGGCAGTTGATGAAAACAGGGTTATAAAGGGGGCAAAGTGAGTTGGATGTCGAATATTATGCTTTATTAAGGTGGATCTACCAGTTCTAATATAAGTTTCTTGTGACCAAGTGGCTAGACAACAGAAAAAATATATGTTTATATTCATTTATTTTATGACGATGTGGGTTCAATTCCTAACTTTATGAAATTCTCGCAATTTTTTGGACCCTGTTGCGAGTCATCTGCTCAGAGACTCAAACAAAATAAAGAATCATAGACTTTGCTACCTATTGCATTCTTAATCGCCTATTTAGAATCCATGTTAACCTCATTTAGTTCAAAGTAAAAGCTAGCTTCACTAACCTCTTGTTATTTAAGTTAAAACATGCTCTACAAACCAAAAAATACTTCAATTTAACATCATCAAGCTTAAAAGCTACATGATTGAGTAAAACAAAAAAGTCCTTGACTCTGATATTCTAGAAACTTTATACATAATGATTAGAAACTTTTCATTCATCTCTTAAAATTAGAAATTTCATTCATTAAAATGAGTTGAAAGAATTTTTTTCATTAAAAATTGTTAGAATTACGAAAGAGCTGACAGGCAATTGTGAAATAAGGAAAAAAGTGGTCTTTTCAGTTTTCATTCATTTTTCGGCTCTCATTTCTCGTCAAGTCTTTTTTTTTATCAAAGATGTTAGCAAGTTATAGAAAAACTTTATTTTTTCTCACTAATCTTGACAATGAGGAAGCAATGAAAAGTTTCCAATCAATGAATTGAATAAAAGTTTAAGAGTCAAAAAATTGCTCTTCGCTGTTCTATTGTGCACACTTCATTAGGAAATGTCTTATTGATTTGTCTGAAATGATAGCCAAAAAGTATTTTTCTTTTTCTTTTGTGAAACTTAAAGTAAACAATTTTTTTACTCGTTAATGTTAAATTTATGGCTTTATGAGGTTTTTGGCATGAAATTTTATTTTTTTGTTACGAAAAATTGCTCAATGGCATAGATTCATTAGACTTTTGTATTATAGAAATGACAATTTTCCTAGATCTCGTTTGTAGCTTCTTTTAAATGATATACTTTAGCATTCGGTTAATTGAATCAGAAATAAAGAATTTAAAATGATATATCTAAATTCTAGGATTCGAAAATAGTTCGCTAGCTTATCTTAATTACTACCCTTCATTTGGACCCCTTATTTTAGGAATCATTGTAGATATGGCTCGAAGAGCATATCTGTAGTAGATAGGCATGAGCATAGGGCTCGCGTTGAAACTAATATATGTGTATGATCGATAGCCGTAGTGCGATAAATACCTCGATGGCCGAGTGGCAGGGATCTTCGATCAAGTGGTCAGAGATCGTCTCTTTTGAGGTTATGGGTTCGATTCACATCCAACCCGACTTGTTTTACATTAGTATACACATATAGCAATTATAGGGAGATTTACAATCATAAAGCGACCATTTCACTATTTAAGCTTTAAACTTTTATATTTTGCACCCCACTTAAGACCCACCCTGCCTCTTTATTAAAAAACATTAAATTTCTTGAAAATTCTTTAAAACACAAAAAACAAGTTATTCTCAAGCTTAACTAACCATAAACAATTTTTCATTTATTTATTGAATAAAAGAAACCATGAGAAATCATGAATATCTGCGCATTACGAAATCATGATTCCAATATTCCATTCTGTCTCTCATCTCCAACCCTCGTTTCTTTCAACTTTCTTCTCTTATTCTTTATAAGAATAATCAATCGAATGAAAACAAGAAATGAGAAATCAAAGAAAGACATTAAATGATAAAGGAAGACCGTCCTGGCAGCTAAATAAAAACTGAAATAATGATGTGTCATCAGAATAAAAGCAGCAGCAGTAGCGTATTTTATTACACATAAAATTATTACCAGCACCCACTTTCAGTTCTGTAAAACATTCAATTATGCTGCTTTTGTTGTGATTTTTTTCTCGGTTCAAATGGAAGTAAATCTAAAGGAGATTTATGCTTCAAATGGACCGAAAAAGGTAAACATTAAATCAAAAACTTATGTTCGTCATGAAATGATGAGCTTTAAAGACTAATTTAAAGCATCTTTCAGTGTGTATTACTTCCAAATTTGTTTACACTACACGCCATTTAATTCTGCGTTTGAAGAAATAATCTTTTGCCTTAAATGAAAATGGAAAAGTTTCTCAATGGTGCTTTTATTTGCTCAACTCTTTCCATCTTCACATCTGTTTGATTTTGTGGAAAAAAATTGTAAAATGTCTTTTGAAGTGTCAATTACCTACAGTTAAAAAATTTATATAAAATAAACGAGAAAAGGGTTTTTTTTCTCTCTTTTCTTTTCAATTCATTTTATGTTTTTCATCATTCTCATTTATTTCAAGTGACGAATTTCAGACATGAAAAGTGGAGTAAATGTTCTATTCGGTTTGTCAGACTTTATCTGGGAAATTAAAGAAGATTATGCATCTCCTCATCTCCTCCTCAAATCGGAGCTATTTATATAGAGGACCCCCAGATTTTTAAAGCAAAAACTAGGAATCGGGAAGGGAGGGACAGAAATATCACTCCAATTGTAAACCTTGATCAAAGATATCACCAATATTACTGTTCAGATATGATTAGTATTTTAAATTAGCTTGAACTTAGCGTTCTGTTCATGCTTTTTGGTAGCCGCAAATTGCTCACTAGAAAGAGTGTTAAACCGCGAGTTCGATTCTCACTTGAGTCAACTTGTTCAAAATTTGTCAATTTGTTTTAACATATTCACTTTTGAGTTCTAGTAAAGCATCAAAATCAGGCGCGTAACCATGGGGGGGATTTAGGGGACAAATCCCCCGACTTTAACAGAAATTTCTTCATTTTGCTAGGAGTTTTATGAAAAAATCATAAAAAGGCCCCCTTCCTTTTGAATTTTCCTTATAATTTTTTTTAACACCCCCCCCCCCCTCTTCAAATCCCTGATTACGCCTCTGATCAAAATTCAAGTTTTTCACAACTATCAACTAAAAAAAAGCTTTTCAAGCGCATTGGAACCCCGTAAAATTTAATTACACAACAATTCCAACTTGTTTTTATCTCATTTCGTGTCTAGTGATATAATAATATACAACAAAATATATTACCATGATGATGATACTTTTCTATTCATTTATTGTACTTCTGTGCTCTGTCAGTTGTGTAGATGATAATGACAATGACGATGATGATAAAAAAATATAAACAAAACAAGCAAAAAAAGGAAAGGAAATTGTGTGTAGACAGAAAAACCAGTAACAATGAGGAGATCCCTCATTCTTTTTACTTGTAGCTTGATGCAAATCATTAATCATAATTTTAATTCTCATTTTTGTGG